TTTTTGCAATCGCTATAGCTCTTCGCAAAACGGTTTTCCCTATAGGCGATTTTCGCTAGACGATGTGCTTTGCAAGCCGGGTTTTTTGGGGACAGTTTTTCGCCAGACGATGATTTTGACAGCTGGGTCCACGCTTTGCAAAACGGTTTTCCTATGGGTGGTTTTTGTAACACGATGATTTTTCCTCATTGGAACACATAAAATAGATTTAAATGCATTCCAATGGGGAACCGCATTTCGGAAGACGATGTTCTCGTAAGACAGCAATTTTCGCGGAACGAATTAACATCGTCTTGCAAGGCACCACTGTATCTGCAAGCGGGATCTGAATGTCTTAGGAATGGACTTCAACAGATAGGAAACCCTAACATCTGAGCGTTCAGCCTGGAGGCAGGCGGTGCATCATGGCCTCTCCCAATTTGAAGAGATCCTTGTCAAGCAGGCTGAGGCAAAGAGGCAGTCCCGAAAGCAGCAAAATCAGGGAGCTGGACAGGGGACAGATTGTATTTGTCTTCATTGTGAAAGGGATTGTCACTCTCGAATTAGTCTTCTCAGCCACACTAGATGCTGTTCCAAGTCTTCCATACAGAGCACGTTACCATAGTCTCTCGAGACTGAAGGATGCCTAGTCTAAAAATCTAATCTAATAAATTTGCATGTATATGGATACCCATATAGTGGCCAAAACAGTAAAACAGAGCTAGATGTACAGGGCTTGATAGTCACAAGCCACTCACCCATTCCCTATTGCAGAGATTGTCAACTCCTGGTCCGTGGCCTGAGCCCAACTGGGCCATGAAGAAAGACTTCCCGCCCCACCCCTGCATGCACTCACCCCCGCAAAGGCTGTTTGCACCAGCACACACACTTGTGTGCATGCGTGAATGGTGGCATAGCGCTTGTGCGGGCGGGCACTCTCATGCGCATGTGTGAATGGCAGCACTGCTGTTCATGCATGAGCATGAGAGAAAGCGCACCCGCACAAGCCCCACACTGCAATCGGTATAGCACTTCGCAAAACGGTTTTCCCTATGGGCGATTTGTTCACGCATGTGCACAAATGCAGGGGGTGCCCCGCAGCACACACACTTGTGTGCATGCGTGAATGGTGGCATAGCGCTTGTGCGGGCGGGCACTCTCATGCGCATGTGTGAATGGCAGCACTGCTGTTCATGCATGAGCATGAGAGAAAGCGCACCCGCACAAGCCCCACACTGCCATTCATGCATGTGCACGAGTGTGCACAAGTGTACAAGCATGCTTGTTCACGCATGCACACAAGTGCAGGGGGTGCCCCGCCTTCCCCAGCTGGTCCACAGACCGAAAAAGGTTGGGGAGCACTGCCCTATTTTATCTGTTGTATCTCTAGAACAATCAAGTCATTGTACCCTGTGCCTACAGTGACTGACAGCACTTCTGCAGTGTTTCAGTCTTTCCAAGCCCTATTTTGAAGAGGTGAGAAGTTAGTTGAAACTCATGCTGCAAGTATGTTCTCTGACCCACAACCATCACACAATGTTTGAGTGCCCCAACAGAAAAAAAAGAAGCATGGATGGCAAAATTCACTGCATGCTGTCCCTAACTTATGCAGAGCATTGAACTGGAACATTGTTGTTGGTATCTACATGTGCAGGGCTCATAAAAGCAAAAATACTGATTGCCACCAGCCCAGTTCAGCCAATTCTATCTCAGGTTTATATACTAAGATGCATAACCTCTGGAGATGGCACTTAATAAGGAATCTCCTAGATCAAAAGTTCCCAACCTCCGGTCTGTCACCCAGTGCCAGTCCATGGCCTGAGCCGAACCGGGCCGCGGACAGAGACCTCCCGCACCCCTGCACATGAACTTAGCTAGCACAGCTGTTTTGCGCATGTGCACATGTTCCAGCACACCCGTGTGAGCGCCATGCCGCCATTTGTGCATGCACACAAGTGACCCATGTGACCGCCATGCTGCCATTTTCACATGAACATGACTGCACAGGTGCGTGCACAAGTGCCACACCATCATTTGCGCCTGCAAGCTCATTTACACGTGAGAGAACAGGTGCTCGTTCGCCCATGCACACGAGCGTGTGGGTCCCCTGCCTTCCCCAGACTGTCTGTGGGGTGTAAAAGGTTGGGGGATCCTGTCCTAGATTACAGAAACCTGCCACAAGCAAAAAGGGTTTCTGTGCTTGGGCAGAAGCCCTGTTCATATCTTGGCTTATTAAATCAAGACACTGTAACCCAAATGTGGCTATATTAAATGTAACAAGTACAGCTGTTCACACACTGTAGCTGCAGCAAAGGTCAATCATCAGAAGCCATTTCTGGCAGTATTCATTCACACAGTAAGTGACATGTACTCCACCTGCAGCAGTCCATAAGATGCATGTGAATGCTCAGCATTTCTGCTCAGTTCTTTGGTCCTTCCTGCACTTATGATTATTTATATCTCACTGACTGTGATCAATATGAATAGGCTATGATTACAGCAAATTATTATGAGCTACCACTTAGGTAGAAATTAGTGGCAACAGTTATGAAGGAAGGAATGTACAGTAACTAATCAAACAGTCCAAAAACAAAATCGCAGTACATTCAGAAAACAGCTCAAGGAAGTAAACATACCAGATTTCATTTGATGACTGGGATGCAAACAGTTTCATCCAAGCAAGAGTATCAGGACTGAAAGGAATTTTTTTCTAGAAGTAACAAATATCTAAACGTGTTTTCATAACATCTATGATAACATCTATCTGTATAGACTTTTTCTCCCAAGAACATTGATCATGGTTTTGCTTTTGTTTCTCTCTCCTTTTTTCCCCCTTACACACATATTTTCTGTTATTCATTCCAAGAATTTCAGCCTGTACACTGGACAAATGTAATTCATTCCATCATGATGAATCCCTTCTAGACAAATCAGTCTTGTTCATCTCCAACTCAGTAACATGCTTGTCTCAGAAAATGCATTGTTTGATATTCAGATTTTAAATGAGGATCTAGGGTCTAAGAATCTCATTTGCACTCCATGTGCAAAATATAATGAATGAAAGATTTCAGTACTGGGAAATGCCGAAAAGAAGAAAGGACAATAGCAATCAGCATCTCCTACATAGTCTATGTAACTCTCCCAGGAGTTGTTCTATTTTTCTTTTTTCTTATCATTTACTGGTCTCTAATGAAAATATAAGCTAACAAACTGATTATGGCAAGATGCAAATGTCCCAATCCAGAGCCCCACATGAACTGTGTTTTGCAGACAGAATTCTTTAGCACACAGACTTCCCAGTTAAGTAAAGGGTGCATTCCTGAAACTACTCCATCCACTGACAGGAGCAGCAAGGAAAATCATGGGCATATTCTCACCCTTGTAGAAAATGGGGAAGGCTGGATCTTATGCAATATGCCTGATTTTTGAGGTGAAAGAGAGGAGTGGTTGTTCTTTTAAACATAGTTCTTTTCATATTTGGTTTTTGGATTCCAACAGCATATTGTAGGTGGATGTCATTAATAAGGAAGCATACAAATCACTCAAGCAGTTAAGATATTCTTACATAGACCAGCTGGTGCTATTAAGTCTTATTTAATTTCTTTGAGCTCACTCACAAGTAAGTGTACTTTGCATTATGTCTTCATGGTGAAAAATACATCCTACGTGGGATAGTCAGCAGACTTATCTCTCCAAGCAATCTGCACAGTATGGGCTAGACAGATGCCATCACCCATTGTAATGGGCCTAGGGACATTCCATTAAATTCTTTCAGAGTTCTGTAATGGATTAAGTAATTTGTTTTTTCACAGACAAGTTAAGTTGATGCTGATATCTATAAACCCAAGAGCTACTGGGGGCAATCAAAGTCATTGACAGATCCCTAATACTCCCCATATCTGCATGAAGCTCTGGTGTAGCTAGGAATGGATTATGATAACTAAACTTTTTGTTCTGCTACACTTTTGTTGTTTTGCTTATGACAAGAAACCGGTGCAACAGTTCTCAAAACTGTCAGTTTATTTGGGGTACCAAAAGCTGTGCAGCACCTGAACTACACACTTGTGCTGCAAGTGGTGGTATTTTCAGGTTATTATCCATAGAAGTGAGGTATTACAGAAGAGCTGTTTCAAAAGAGCAAACATTGGGAGGAGGCAGAGCCTTTCTATAACTCCCCACCAGTAAGCTACATTAAGGTGAACAGCTGCTGGAGTTTCACATATCTCATGTTCATCACCTTCATGAATTCATACCTTGTTGCACTTATTACCTATAGTCAGGTATGACTGATGATGGTCATCTTCTATTTTCAGAATACACACAAAGATTCCATTGTAGCATTCCTGTACACTGGACAAGGAATCGGAGTTATTCCAGAGATGGAAATGCCTTGTGCTTCTTTATTTAACAGACAGGACCACATTTTATTCTGAACAGCCAATTAGCTTTGAACATGTAGAATCAACATTAACATGTTTTATTGTGTTGTATTCATAAATTATCAAATCCTGGTACAAGGATTTAAAACAAACAACAACAAAGTAAAATGGTGATTTGCTTATCCAGGATTTAAACAGGTTATACAACTTCATCAAACTTGCACCAAAAATGAAGCCGTTACACTAAAGAGGCAAAAAGAAGTATGTTCCACATTACTTGCATGGAATTTGTACTCCAGTCTCTCTGATGTCAACAATCTGTTCCTTTTGAATGGTCAAAGGTCACTGGATTGCAAATTTTTAAAAACAAAATTAATTTGTAACGTGACAGTAAATCTTCATTTCCTTGCTACTTCATTTCCTATACCCATCCAAAAATGGCTTCATCCTAATAGAAAAAAGATGTAAAAACATTGATATATACTGTATGTCTTGTTTGAAATAAGCAATCACATTAAAATGTTTATTTTTCTTATATTCCATGACCAAAAGTATTATTTCTGCTTGGAGTAACTGAAACTCAGCATGTGTAATGGTTAGATTAGAATACTGGGGAGATGATCATAAAGCCCCACTAAAAGGCAGAATAAATATGGCATTAAAGATGCCATAGGAGGCATATCAAAATTTTGCAGGGGCAGACAAATCTGCCATGTCTGAGGGCCAGTTTTGCCCCTAGAATCCTAGGGATCACAAGGAATATTCACAAAACAGCCAAAAAGTGAAAGCAGAAGTTACCCACAGTCCACTTCTGATTATGAGAAATGGATGAAAATTTTGTGCTAAATGGTACCTCTCCAACCTATTTAAAATGTGATTCATGAACCTACTATGATTAGAATTTTGTCTATTTTTACTGGGGAGGAAAATTGGAGAGCGATGAGGTTCAGGAGAGTGTGGAAGGATAAGGACTGCAAAAACAACTTTGGGGCTACTTGGTACCCCAATCACATTTTGGCTACTCTGTTTTAATTAATAGCAGGACAAGACTTTTCATTGGGACTCCAATGCATGTGGGAAGTTTAATTATATCCTCTGTAGCCACAGTCCTAACAAAAGCACATGCACCCCAGCTGCAGTTATTTTCTAACTTCAGCCTCATCTACCTCACAGGTTTATGAGGATAACATGTGAAGGGGATTTGCTGAGTTCCTTAGGAAACATAAACATTTATATAGGCTAGAGGATAGACAGCATATACCATATTTTTTGCTCTATAAGACGCACTTCCCCCACAAAAAAAAGTGGTGGGGGGAAATGTTTGCGTCTTATGGAGTGAATACTGTAAAACAGCGCTCCCCAGGGCCCAATGGGGGTGGGCGAGCCTCCAAAGGGTCCAAGAGTGCCTTCCAGGACCCTTTGGAGGCTCCCCCCACCCCACTGTGGGGCCAGCAGGGGTGAACCCACCAGCTTCCAGGACCCTTCTGAGGCTTGGGAAGCTGGTGATTTGGCCCCCACTGGACCCACGGGTGGGAGCTTCCAAAGGGTCCTGGAAGGCATTCTCAGACCCTTCTGAGGCTCCATCCACCCACCCACCCACGGGCCCAGCAGGCTGAAATTGCCAGAATATTTTTCCTGTTTTCTCCTAAAAATTAGCTGCATCTTATTCACCTCCTGTCACTTTAACAGCAGTCTGAGCTATCAAATTGGAAGAGGTGAAGCTGTTCCCCATCCCTGTTACTTGAAAAAGCTTTGCTTTCTCTCCATGGTGAAGAAATATCCAGTGTCTATGCACAGAACCTCTGCAGTTAAGTGGCCTGACAGGATGAGAGGGGCAAATGGACACAAGGCTGCTGTGGTCTGTCAAGTACCCATTTTTTGGATGGCTGCTGATCAAACTGTAGTGAAGACTAAGCAAGAAACATCTGCATTAACTGGGGCACATCTACAGCTTAGATATGGGATAGAACCATCTAGATTTCCAACATGTTGGACAATGACTATAATAGAGAAAAGAAGAAACTACAGTGGTACCTCAGTTTACAAACACCTCAGTTAAGGTAATTTTTGATTTACGAATGAAAATAAAGTGGTGCCCCACTTGATGACAATAATCTGTTGCGTTAAAATCGCTGTTAAACGATATCATCGTCAAGCGAAAGTAAAAAAACCCATTGAAATGCATAGAAAACCGGGCAATGCATTCCAATGGGCGAAATACCTCATCGTAAAGCGAAGATCCTCCATAGGGGAAGTCATTTTTAATCGCTGTTTTCCGGAAATATGTCCCAAAAAAGCGGGAGGCCATTTTGAAAGCCCGACGATCAGCTGTTTTTACTTGTCGTGAAGCGAAAAATCGATTCCCGAAGCAGGGAAAAAAACCCATTGAATCATCATTTTGCGATCGCTACAGCGATTGCAAAAAACTAATCGTAAAGTGATTTCATTGTCTAACGGGGTTGTCGTGAAGCAGGGCACACTGTACATTGAAAATAATGCCTTGGTTTACTTTTTTTTTTTCAATATGAAGCAAGTTTCCCCAGGATGCATTGTGTCTGGGAGGTTTATAGAGCCGCCGCCATGAATACTGGAGTCTGTGGGTTGCATGTGGCATTGAACGTGGAGGTGTTGGAGCAGTTTTTTGCATCGAGTTTTGGAGCCATTCTGGGAAAAAATTGCATTGGTTTTGGGACTTTTTGGAACTTTTTTGGTGCATTTCTCAAGCGGTGAAAAGATAGGGAACTGACTTTTGTCATTTGCAGGCTTTTTACTGTGCGTTCTGCATTGTGGGTTGGTTTCCATACCAGCTTATGTGGACAGATTGATCTGTGATGTTTTAAAAGTTGATGTTGGATGTTTGAAATGTTATTGCTTGATTAATTATGTTCCTGTACAGTATTTATGCCTTTAAAGTGCATTTTATAGAGTTTTGAGCAGATAAAAGACTTATTAAAAAACTTTTTTCTGACCTCCAGAACGGATTAATTGGTTTTCAATGCGTTCCTATGGGAAACCGTGTTTTGGTTTATGAATTTTTCACAATACAAAACATCCCAGAAAATGCATTAAATTCGTAAACTAAGGTACCACTGTATTTCTTTTCTTTTCTTTTTTTCTTGGATCCTTTATCATCTGGCAGATTTATTTCTTGTGCTTTGCAACTTATTCTATTTTTATTTTATGCAGAATATTGATATCATAGTATTTACAAATATTTAGGTCTTTACTAAGAATATTTCACTCTGAAAAACAGTGTGAGAGTATCCTACTGGCAGTAAACCAAAAACTAAAATATGGTAAATACAGACTCTGCATACCTTTGGCAGCTGCAGTTCCATTATACATTTAGGTGTATCCATGAATCAGTTGGTTTCCAAAGCATAAAAACTTTTTTTCTTGTTGTGAATAAGCCAAATTTATTGTAGAAATTATTGTGAAAAAAATCAATTTAAAATCAGAGAATTTCACAGGAATATCACTCATTGTATTACATAGCCCACTGGTGGGCAAATGTTGAGCATTTGGGTGCCACATTCAAATCAACAGCCCTCCCCACTGCACCAGGCCTGGCAAAGGCCAGAAAAGAAAAACAACCAAACAAGAAATTTCCCAGATGGGCACTTCCAATTCATTTAGAGGATGTTAAGGCATCTTGGGGGAATGCCCCCCACTCAAGAAAGAAGCAGAAAACCACTACTTCTAGAGGCTTTGGTGTTTCTCTATTTCTTACTTCCAGGACTCTAGGAAGGGCCTGCGAGGGGCATAAATGACTCCAGAGTGACATGTAGTTTGCCCATTTCTGATTTATACATACATGTTTGGTTTAGGAATAATGTTTCAAACAGAAGTTTTAAATTTAAGTTAGAATAATGAAATACTTTCACAGGTACTGTAAATCCACACCATGCGTTATGTAAAGTGTGTGATTTTCCTTTGTTTCTTAAGAAAGAAGAGGAGGAGGAGCTACCACTACCTCTGTGAAGGTTTCACTTACCCTTTATCAAGTAAACATGTTTGGTTTAGGAATAATGTTTCAAACAGAAGTTTTAAATTTAAGTTAGAATAATGAAATACTTTCACAGGTACTGTAAATCCACACCATGCGTTATGTAAAGTGTGTGATTTTCCTTTGTTTCTTAAGAAAGAAGAGGAGGAGGAGCTACCACTACCATAAGGAAGATGTTGACTGGGACTGTAGCAACAGCAGGGGGCAGGGGTGACAGTAGCGGGGGGGGGGAGGGGGAATCTCACTAGGGACAGGAATCACTGCTTGTCTCATCCACATACATGAGAATGAGAAAGCATATAAATATACTTCTCACATTAAAGAGGACAAGACATTTTTGTATATATTTTTTCTGTTATAATCTTATCACTTTATTTAAATAGATTTTTTGTAATTTGTATTGGAAACTTATGCTACTGTGTTTTTCTGGGGATCTCCTATTTTTCCCTTATTCTCTCTCTCTCTATTCACATGCCTAGAGTCAGGCGTTCTCCTCAGCACCTCAAATGGACCAAAGTTCCCACCCACCCACTCTTCTAAAATGATGTTATCTAAAGTGGAAGGGCTCCATATGTGTAAGGGGTAAAACTTCGCTATTGATATTTGTGCCGCAAAAAATCAATTCTAAAAGAGATGCATTGCAAATCCCAGTAAGACCCTTATTGTACTAAACAAATAAAGGCAAATATGAGACCATTTCTAAATGGTGATTTCATACCACTATTTCGTCATTGACCCAGAGTTGTTTAACTTACTGTGCCAATGCATGAAGCCCCAGTTTGTATGTTCTCACTCGTATTTCTGCCTGTGGAACAAGTTCATAAGAGGAAACAATGCATCACTTTCATTTGTACTGAAAAGGAGTATCATTTTCTCTCCTGGAAGCAATGTATATGATTAAAATTGCAGTGTATTATCATTTTTAAAGAAAACACTTTATATAAATAAAATGTGGCATATTTAAAAACAGCCTTGATGCAAAACAAAGATGTATGAATTCAAGTTTGTTGCTCGTATCTGCAATCCATTTAAGATTACTCCAAAGTATTTTTACTACTTATCTGATAATAGATTCAGATCAATAGGAGACTTATCTCCTTGGTGCAATATTGTGCAAAATCTGCTAATTAGGAAGAAGGCATTAGAATCAAGTGCTTTCAGCTAAATAGAGTTTAATAAGTGAGCCACAATTAAAGCTATGAAAGAATGAGCTACAATTAGCACTGAGGGTAGTGTAATGGTGCCTTTCAAAAAGTTGCAAATTATAGCCAAAGATAATTGCCATTATGCAGTTTCTAATGGATGATAACAGAAATAAGCATCAGAAACCACATCTGAGGAGGAAAAATACCAGTGTCCATTCCTCTCTCCTAATGCATGACAAGGGCAGTGCTTAATATCAACAGACAGTGGCAACGATTTTACTTTAAAGTAAAAGCATGGCATGTCTGTCAAGAGAGTGGATTTTGTTCAGTTTAAGTTAAATAAAATGCCCTCAAAAGTGTCAGAACTCTGTCTGCAATGCTGTGAGAAGGTAAGGCAGGAAAGGTTGTAAGGGAACCTCTACTTTATGTGCTTTCTTACCGTCTCTGGTTGCTCTCCATAGGCCCCTCCTAGCCCATTTGCTCTACTTCCTCCCCACTGTATGTTGGGATATTCTCTCAACCTTCTCTATGTGCAGTTCTGTTCTCCCACATCTCTTCATCTCATCCCACAGAGTCAGCCCAGCTATTTCTGCACTGCCTTTATCAGATACCAGCAATAAGATCTGCATCTTCCTTCCTATCTCTTACTTATCTGCAGCCAATCTGAACCTCTATAAATCATGGGTAGGCAATGTGTAGCCCGTAGACTTCACAAAAACCCTCAGGTATTTTTGTGGCTCCCAAAAGTGCCCAAGAGCCCCCCGTAGACAAAAAGTAAACAACAAAATCATGATTTTCTGCTCCTGGAGATCTGCAGGGGCGTCAGTTTTTACTTTATGGTATTTGGGAGATCCATAAGAACCTACTATGATCACTAAAAGGAAAAGAAAAACAATAAAAGAAGGCTGTACATGTGCATGTAGAAAATCCCTCACTCAACAGGGTTGGAGGCATCCTGCCATCTCTGCAGTAGTAGTTTTTTACAATGATATTTTCACTTACAGTAGATATCGCCATGCTTGGTTCCTCTAAGAAAGAGAGGTGCAGGTTTAACATTCTAAGCCTATTCTGAGGCAGCAATCTTGTGCACACTTACTTGAACTAAGTCCCTCTGAACACAGAGGGATTTTTTTGTTGTTGTTTAGTTGTTAAGTCATGTATGACTCTTTGTGCCCCCATGGACCAGAGCACGCCAGGCCCTCCTGTCTTCCACTGCCTCCCGGAGTTGGGTCAAATTCATGTTGGTCGCTTCTATGACACTGTCCAGCCATCTCATCCTCTGTCGTCCCCTTCTCCTCTCTACTTCACACCTTCCTAACATCAGGGTCTTTTCCAGTGAGTCTTCTCTTCTCATGAGATGGCCAAAATATTGGAGCTTCAGCTTCAGGATCTGTCCTTCCAGTGAGCACTCAGGGTTGATTTCCTTTAGAATTGATAGGTTTGTTCTACTTGCAATCCAGGGGACTCTCAAGAGCCTCCTCCAGCACTACAATTCAAAAGCATCAATTCTTCAGTGGTTAGCTTTCTTTATGGTCCAGCTCTCATTTCCATACCAGCTATCATTTCCAAACCATAGTTTTGACTATGTGGACCTTTGTCAGCAAGGTGATGTCTTTGCTTTTTAAGATACTATCTAGGTTTCTCATCACTTTCCTCCCAAGAAACATGCATCTTTTAATTTCGTGGCTGCTGTCTCCATCTGCAATTATCATGGAGCCCAAGAAAGTAAAATCTGTCACTGCCTCGATATCTTCCCCTTCTATTTGCCAGCAGGTGATGGGGCCAGTGACCATGATCTTAGTTTTTTTATTGTTCAGCTTCAGACCATTTTTATGCTCTCTTTCACTTTTATTAAGAGGTTTTTTAATTCCTCCTCATCTGCATATAAGTTAAATAAGCTGGGTGACAATATACAGCCTTGTTGTACTCCTTTCCCAATTTTGAACCACTCAGTTGTTCCATGACCAGTTCTAACTGTTGCTTCCTGTCCCACATATAGGTTTCTCAGGAGACAGATAAAGTGGTCAGGCACTCCCATTTCTTTAAGAACTTGCCATAGTTTGCTGTGGTCCACACAGTCAAAGGCTTTTGCATAGTCAATGAAGCAGAAGTAGATATTTTTCTGGAACTCTCTGGCTTTCTCCATAATCCAGCGCAAGTTAGCAATTTGGTCTCGAGTTCCTCTGCCCCTTCGGAATCCCGCTTGTACTTCTGGGAGTTCTCGGTCCACATACTGCTGAAGCCTACCTTGTATGATTTTGAGCATAACCTTGCTGGCGTGTGAGATGAGTGCAATTGTCCGGTAGTTGGAGCATTCTTTGGCACTGCCCTTCTTTGGTATTGGGATGTAGACTGATCTTTTCCAGTCCTCTGGCCACTGTTGAGTTTTCCAAACTTGTTGGCATATTGAATGTAGCACCTTAACAGCATCATCCTTTAAGATTTTAAATAGTTCAACTGGAATGCCATCACCTCTACTGGCCTTGTTGTTAGCCAGGCTTTCTAAGGCCCACTTGACCTCACTCTCCAGGATGTCTGGCTCTAGGTCAGCAACTATATTGTCTGGGTTGTCCGGGATATCCACATCTTTCTGATATAATTCCTCTGTGTATTCTTGCCACCTCTTCTTGATGTCTTCTGCTTCTGTGAGGTCCCTTCCATTTTTGTCTTTTATCATGTCCATCTTTGCACAAAATTTTCCTCTAATATCTCCAATTTTCCTGACCAGATCTCTGGTTTTTCCTTTTCTGTTATTTTCCTCTATTTCTTTGCATTGTTCATTTAAGAAGGCCCTCTTGTCTCTCCTTGCTATTCTTTGGAAGTCTGCATTCAGTTTTCTGTAACTTTCCCTATCTCCCCTGCATTTTGTTTCCCTTCTCTTTTCTGCTATTTGTAAGGCCTCGTTGGACAGCCAGTTTGCTTTCTTGCATTTCCTTTTCTTTGGGATGGTTTTTGTTGCTGCCTCCTGTACAATGTTACGAGCCTCTATCCAAAGTTCTTCAGGCACTCTGTCCACCAAATCTAGTTCCTTAAATCTGTTCTTCACTTCTACTGTGTATTCGTAAGGGATTTGGTTTAGATTATACCTGAGTGGCCCAGTAGTTTTTCCTACTGTCTTCAGTTTAAGCTTGAATTTTGCTATGAGAAGCTGATGATCAGAGCCACAATCAGCTCCAGGTCTTGTTTTTGCTGACTGTATAGAGCTTCTCCATCTTTGGCTGCAGAGAATATAGTCAATCTGATTTCGATGTTGCCCATCTGGTGATTTCCATGTGTAGAGTCGCCTCTTGTGTTGTTGGAAAAGGGTGTTTGTGATGACCAGCTTGTTCTCTTGACAAAACTCTATTAGCCTTTGCCCTGCTTCGTTTTGAACTCCAAGGCCAAACTTCCCTGTTGTTCCTTTTATCTCTTGACTCCCTACCTTAGCATTCCAGTCCCCCAGAATGAGAAGAACATCCTTCTTCGGTGTCAGTTCTAGAAGGTGTTGTAAATCTTCATAAAATTGTTCAATTTCAGTCTCCTCAGCAATGGAGGTTGGTGCATAAACTTGGATTATTGTGATGTTGAAAGGTCTGCCTTGGATACGTATTGACATCATTCTATCATTTTTGAGATTATATCCCATTACGGCTTTTCCCACTCTTTTGTTGACTATGAGGGCTACTCCATTCCTTCTACGGGATTCTTGCCCACAATAGTAGACATGATAATCATCTGAGTTGAAATCACCCATTCCCATCCATTTTAGTTCACTGATGCCCAGGATGT